CTTTATGTACCGGAGAACAAGAATGTGACAAGAAGGTGAGAAAATAGCCGTTCAATTAGATTCTCAGTTCGCTTCCGTTTCCAATCTTGATATGACTTTTGTGCGCTAATTCGTTTTAATCAGAAATTTGTAGTTCCGAAAAATTTCGTGCTCAAAGCTTTTAGTACATGAACATGCAACACAACTAGAGGAAAGTACAGAAAGTGCTTTTCAATCGATTAGCTTCTTCATTCGTCGCTGTTTTGAAATCAACTGGAGTTTGATAAAGTGTTTAGTAAAAATGTAGGAAGTGGGGTTGCTCCTTTTGGGTTTTGTTGATCTATCAAATAATGCGGGGGTACTTCATAAGCTTGCCCTGTCTTTTGGCCTGGAACGAGCACCTCTACCAATCTATATCTTTCTTCGAGACTGCTGTCACTGATATAGTAGATTTTTGTGAAGCACCTTTGTCTTTTACTAGCTTTACATTACTTGTTTTTTTACGCATTCTCGCTGCTGTTTGAAGAAAAAGCTTTGAAGTATCCAAAAGAGCTTAGAGATTTCGTACTCGCTGGCATCTCTACCACTTCCTTCAGGTGTGCAGATGTCGATCATCTGACGGCTGATGTTCGCGTCGGCGCGCGGCTATCGCGAATAGATGAGTGGTGCGGTGATCATACACCACCACAGCTGATGAGCAGCACCAACCTCTTACAGCTCGAATACACAACGAAGGTTTGTCAATCCATACGAAAGCTGCTGTTGCGCAGTTTATGCTGCTTTTTTGCAGTCCTCGCGAGCACTGCGAGAAAGTGCGAAGAATGATTTGGGCTTTCGATTGGAGTATAAGTTTCACACCGACTGGGATATGCAACATATGCGAGCTCGAGGAGATCGTGATAAAGGTATTGATCAGCTATTTGCCTAATGATTTGTCTAACAAACTTCGAGGGGCCCAGACCTTTTTTCCGTACGCCACCGTTTGGGCACTTGATAGCATGACACAATCATTTCACATAAGATAAGAAGATATACAGGTTTCTATGGTAAGCCTTGACTAGCTTCTCTGTCAGGCTTGACTTGACCGAAAAAACAAGATTTTGGAATAAAATATTCAATAGGCCTCTGCTACTCAAT